TATATATATATATATTACGAATTTAGATCTAAATAGCACAGATTTAGCTCCATCAACGCATCTAGAAATGCAGAATAAGAATATGTGGGAAAAAAAAGATGACATTACCCCCTGAATCCTCTTTCCAGTTACAGGACACTTAGGACCACTAGCCCGCTTCTTGGTACTCTGGTAAATCAACTTCCCACCTGTACAATAAATAAATCAATCAATCAACTACGTCTCAATCCCAAATTAGTTATAATCGACTTTTTATAAAGTCTATATCCATTCCGCTCAAATCGGCCAATTCATTGAAATACTAATTCATACTTAAAATTGAATGAATCAAGAAGAATCAAATTAAAGACTAATATTAAAGATAGTTTTTGTTGTACCAGGGGTTTTGACGACACGGTGCTGGTTGGATTTGGTGGCATAGCTGTGGCGCTTCCGGTAGGTGAGTCGCTGCACCATCTTCGGAACCTCTCTCTCTCTTTCTCTCTCTCTAGGTTTGAGGCTCGGGCTCGAACAGAAGAGGGAGTGAAGAAGGCTTTGAGATAACAAAGTTAAAAGGCAAAACCCTAGTCGGGAATTTGCCCTAGATCTGACGGCCACTAAGAAATATGCTTGGACGGTTAAGATTGACAATGATTTGGGCAAACTTTGTTCTTTTGGGCTTCAATCCAATCCAAACCCACTAGTTGCTTGGGCTGGTATTTTGGGTCGTATCCCCGAAAATTTTTTATTGTTGGGCTTTCTTTTGTTTATGTACTAGGTTTCTTATTGAGAATTTTTACCTCCTATAGCAAAAGTTAATACCTTATTTATTTTAAAATACTCTTTTAAAAAATTATATTCCATAACTCTTTTTTGATTTTTATAGCCAAATATCTATTTATGGTCACCCCCTACCCTTAAGCCATAAAATACGCTTTGTATTATTTTTCTCTCTCATTCTTTTAGATTTTTCTCTCACAAAATTACCGTATTTGATGTAAAACTTCTCTCTCCACGTTCTCTCTCTCCAATTTCTCTCACTCACATCGCCATTCTCGAATACATTCTCAGAACCCACGATACTGAACTTCCAATTTCTCTCGCTCTCATCGCCATTATCTTCCCCTTTCTCAGAAACCACGATTCTTCACTTCTTCATCTACATTGTCTCTCTCAATTTTCTATAGTTTGTGCTCCAAATAGTTGTGGTAAGTAATTAAGTGTTTAGATTTTCGCTTTTAGTGTGTTTATTCTGTTTATCTCTACTTTATAAATAATAATCATTGTTATGCTTCCAACAGAAAACTTTAAAGTTCCTCTCCAATGGCTGATTCAACATCCCAGAAGAGGGTTACCAGAGGTATATCCACCAAAGCACTCAATTTTGATGGGCCCTCTTTCTCTTTGCAAATCTCTCAAGCGAAATTGAAATTTGCAGGTTAAGCAACAAATACAGTTGCAGAGAGGAGAACTAAAATACGCAATAACACATCGAAAGAAGTCCAAGTTGAGAAATCTTCGAAAGAATCAACACTTCCCGATGCGGAAAAGAGAAGAAAACCTATGGATAATGCTTCTGGTGTTAAGAGAAAGGAGGTCGATACAGGAAATAGCTCGAATACACGGGACGAAAAGGTAATTGTTGATGTATCTATATGTATTTGAGTCCTCATACATTGAGTATTACCTTCTCTAATGGGTTTCTCTTGTTGTATTTTATTGTATTGATATGTGTGCAATAGTGGATACATATGTTGATATGGTATACATCTATGTTGATGTATTCATAAGTATTCAAAAGTGCATTCACTGAATTGTACCTTTTTCAATAACTTTTGCATTTTGTATGTAGATGTATTTATATATATTCAAAAATACCTTAACTGATTTGTAATTATCCCAGTGTCTTTTGCATATTGTATGTAGATGTGTTTAGATGTATTGAAAAGTTCATTCACTGATTTGTACTTATTACAATGCCTTTTGCATATTGTATTTAGATGTTTTTTGATGTATTCAAAAGTTCATTCAAAACATGAATGGGTTATGTATTGCAAAAGTTTTATGAATTTTTTTGTAATCTTTATTCTATGCAGGAAATAAAACTATTTGTGAAACACCCGCCTATTTTATCACCGCATATCAGTTCCTACACTAACACTGACATAGCATCCGACCTCAAAGAAAAACTTACTCTAGAACAGTACAAATATTTGGTACTACTTGTTTTGCAATTTTCCTTGAAATGAAACGTTGTGAGATCCAACATCAATTGTTCAGGTGCTTCATGGTTCTGCAGCTGGAAGGAACTCATGATGATTCATTTTCAATATACGTCAATGGTACAACATTATCCTTTTCAATCAGGGAGTTTGCGCTTGTCACTGGTCTCAATTGTGTTGGTGACCTGAAGATTTTCAGTTTATAACAAAGGTGCCTAACGGGATTGTTGATACATACTTTGGCGGTGCAAAGAATGTCAAGAAGAAAGATTTGTTGAAATGCTTTAATGACAAGAATTGGGGTCATGACAACGATGAGGATGCCATCAAAATAGTTGTGCTATATTTCATACACACTTTCATATTTTCCACCAAGAAGACGCTTTTACCATCCCAAGAAAGTATTTTGACTTGGTCAAGAGTGGGAGCTATTCTAATTATCCATGGGGTAAGGAAGCATTCCAATACCTTATTAAATCTATTAGCAAGAAGATGGATTCTCAGAAGAAGTACTATAGGATAGCGGGGATGCCTCTCGCTATGCAAGTATGATTTTACGAGTGTTGTTCAAAGGTTGACCCGAAATTGCACG